GTTTTTGAATTTTAGTAAAGATGGGGTTTTATCATGTTGACCAGGCTAGTCTTAAACTCCTGACCTCAGGTGATTCACCTGCCTCAGCCTCCCAAAGTGCTGGGATTATAGGCATAAGCCACTGTCCTAAACTCAATTCCAAGCTTCAGGTCAAAGCCCTAGGAAAGAAAACTGGATCTAAGGGATCCAGAGGCAGACGATAACAGAAGTTAAATTGCACAGTGCAGGTGAGCATGGCTAATTCCTGCTGATTAAGCCAAGCCTCCCGTTTTATGGATAAAGGTTGTGCTAATATCCATGGCATAAATGAGGTTTAGAGAACTCCCAGGTTACTGACAGTAGCGGGGATAGAGGCATAGATGAGAGCGGATAATTCCTATTTTCCGGCACCTCCCTGCTTCATGGGTACAAGCTGCTTTGGCACCCATGGGTGTCACCCTGTCATGGTTGCCTGGACTTGGGGATACAAGGACGGAGGAAAGAAAGAGGAACACCTCACTTTCCCTCCCTCACATACCCCAGGTATTTGCTAGGAAGAGACACTTGCGCCCCTCTTTCTAAATGAGTAGCCATCCATCTTCAGTTTGTACCCCTTTCGAATGCATCCTGAACCCCTGGGATTCCTTTGAAAAAAGAGAACCCTCTTTTTCCTTTCTCCTCCTTTGTCCTCTCTTCACTGATACGTAATTGTATCTCTGTACTTACTACAGGACACTCCCCTCAGATGCATCCTCCAAACTGGGAAGAGTTAATTTCCCAAACCTTAAACTGGGTGGCGTAGGATTTGGCTCAGGGAAAGGGAACCCAGAAACCTGACATGCTGGCAAAAGGGCTTTTTTTTGGTTTTTTTTTTTGTACTAGTGGGGCTTTTGGCCTCCTTCTCCATGTACAAACTGGTAAAAGGCCTTGGGATTTCTGAGCTGTCCTTACCTCGGCCCTGTTTTGTTTTGATACACGTCTTCTAATAACCCAGTTTGTCTCTTCTTGCCTTCAGGCCATCAAACTCCAAACAGTCATGCAACCAGAGCCTTGGACAAGGGACCCCTTTGCCAAGGACCCTCAGATAGGCCTCTGAGGGAGCTCTGACTGCCTTTTCTCCAAAACAGCACCCCCGTCAGCAGGAAGCAGTTAAGATAAGTCCTCATCCTTATCCTTATCCTAATGGCAGTTAAATGTATTTCTTTAGAGGGGGAATGAGACAACCAAGTATAAAGGTGTCCCCGGAGGATCTCTAACCGGCCTGTACACCAGGAGAACAGGGTGGAGCCATGGAAGTTCGTGCTGTTTGCAGAAGGAAGGCGCTTCACCTCATGAGTTCCAGTGGTGGGGCAGGAGCCAGGTAACAGGCTTCCCTCTCACTCTGCTGAAAGTTTTTCTCCTTTTCCTTTTTCACTCAGTAAATTCCAGTTTTCTCACCTTTCTATGTGTCCATGAGCCTAATCTTTCCTAGTCATGTGACAAGAACTCGGTTTTTAGTTGAACTGAGAAGAAAGTCCTACAATAGTAGGGCTTGTTTAAAGTTATGACTCTTTAAATGTGTCTTCTTTTTTGAGAGTAAGTTACTGAACCGAAAGAAGCATGATTTATAAAGCCTGTAAATACTAATGCTTATTCTCAGCACAGATTACAAGGTACCAACATATAATTAAATAAATGAATTCATCTTTGTAAGATTAGCACATTTTTTCCCCAATGTGCAAGATGGTACAGGATTAGTGACTAATCTGTATTCATTATTCTTTAAAAGAAAGCTACAGTAGCTTAATAGAAACACTATACTCATCTAAATTACTATTTGGTCTTTCAGTTCTTATCAATACAGAGCTGTTCCCTCCTCTTTGTTCCCTTAGTACTTCATTATAGCACATAGTACATACTTATTTTAATTTTGCAATTTCATTCCTGCTAAATAAAATTTATAGGAGGCCATTGGTTTTGTCTGAGCTTCTACAGCAGGCCCAACAGACCAAACCAAATGGAGTTACTCATGCTGAAGTTCCACACCTTTAAGTGGAAATTAAGTTGCTTATCTGATCTTTTAAGGAGAATGAGAGAGACAATAGCCAAATACCCAAACAAGCCAGTTTTAGCTAGCATGATAAGGGTGTCTCCTCTGCTTTAACCTTTACAAGGAAATTAACTTTGAAACCACCAATCTGCTTTTTTGTTTCTGCTTTCTTTAGCCCCTTTGTGTCTCTAAAGCCAACCTCCTCTGCTCAGCGCATCAGAACGGTCATTCTATTTTATAGGAGGAAGTGTTGTTTGATTCTAGAGTTGCAAATAAAAGCCATGTAAGATCTTTAAACTAAATTTGTCATCTTATTTTTTGACAGTTCTGGCCAACATGGACAAAGGGACTAGAGGGATTTTGCTGACAACTCTTAAAATCCCTTGAGGCGTGCAACAGAGACAATGCCCATGTCTTTTGAGGCTCCCCTGTCTTCTTCAGAGTCTGAGGCTTGTACATCCAAGGTCAGACTTTGCTTTTTTTTTTTTTTTTTGAGATGGAGTCTCACTCTGTCGCCCAGGCTGGAGTGCAATGGTGCAATATTGGCTCACTGCAACCTCAACCTCCCGGGTTCAAGAGATTCTCCTGCCTCAGCCTCCTGAGTAGTTGGGATTACAGGCGCACACCACCATGCCGGCTAATTTTTTGTATCTTCAGTAGAAACAGGGTTTCACCATGTTGGCCAGGCTGGTCTTGAACTCCTGAGCTCATGATCTGCCTGCCTCGGGCTCCCAAAGTGCTGGGAATACAGGTGTGAGCCACTGTGCCTGGCCTAGACTTTGCTCTTTTTGCATAGATCCCCTTAATCATTTTGGTTTCCAATTCCAGGATTAGTTTGTGCTATGAGAGGACACATGAACTTGGGGTGGGTACCAAGGGTTAGTTTGTGCTGTGTGACAGCATATGACCTTTTGGGGTTTGCAGTGGCTTGACAAAGTCAGTGGCAAGAGTGGAAGTCATGACAGAAACATAACTTGATCCCGTAGGGAGGTCTCAGGTGTCTGACTGGGTCAGACAGAAATGGGCAATAAATGGCAATTACCGCAGGGGGTGTGAACTCTGGCTTTCAGAAATTCACAGGGATTTTATGTTCTATTATCTTAATTTATTTTTCTTGTGTGCTTAGGTAGGGAAAAATCATTGGCTGACTTGACTTGGTTAAGGGGATCTCAATGCCAAAGCCAGAATGTGATTGGTGGGCATAAGTCAGGCACTTGAGAGCATCAGAATGCTTGCCACCAAAAAACAGACTCTTGGGTTAGGATAATCTGGTCATGGAAATGGGTCAGCTTCAAGAAAACTTCTGTGCAAGGAGGGAACATGTGAAAGCATTACATGACCCAATCCTGTGGCATTCCCCTTTTTTTTTGAGATAAAGTCTCAACTCTGTTGCCCAGGCTGGAGTGCAGTGGTGTGATCACAGCTCACTGCTGCCTCAACCTCCTAGGCTCAAGAGATCCTCCTACCTTAGCCTCCTAAGTAGCTGGGACCACAGACATGTGCCACCATGTCCAGCTAATTTTTTGTAGAGATGGAATCTCCCCTTCTGTCTATAAAGCCAATCTCCTCTGCTCCGCTTATCGGAACATTCTATTTTATAAAATGAGGAGTTGCTTGATTCTACAATTGCAAATAAAAGCCAATTAAGATCTTCAAAGTAAATGTGTTATAATTTTGTCTTTTGACACCCTATTCTCCTACACTAGACTGTGAGCTTCTTAAGAGAAAGGATTGTTTCTTACCTGTACATCATCAGTGGCCAATAATGCCTGGTACAGTGTTGGGGCTTAATCAGTATTAATTGAATATATCAATAAAGCACAAAATAGGGATATATAAACAAGTAACATTTAATACTATTTTAGGCACTGCGTTAAAGTTTCCTTGCATTATGTGATTTAATCTTATAACAACCTTTAAAGGTGAGGAAACTGGCTTAGGAGAGGGTATTAATGATTATCTGACATCCAGAAGCCTCCTACTCACTCCAGTGTTGGCTGCTTTGCTTCTCAGAAATAAGACAAGTCAGAGACAATCAGGATTAAACCATTGGAAGAGATGGTGCTCTTCTTCTGAGGTCTGTAATGGTTATAAGCCAGACTGCCTAGGTTCAGAGGCCAGCTCTGTCGCGTATTTTGTGTGTGCCCCTGCTGAACCTTTATTAATATCAGTCGTAGCAGTAGTAGTCCTTTCCCTGCTGAATTTAACAGATCCCAGCATACTGCACTCTGCTTCAAAACTGAGTCGAGTATATAGAGTTCAAAACATCATATTGTTCATGTTGAACATACAATTTTATCTGTCAATTAAAGACAAATTAGGGGGAAAAAAAAAAAAACGGGCAGAGAGCAGTGACTCGCCTGTAATCCCAGTGCTTTGTGGGGTTCAGGTGGGAGGACCGCTTGAGCCCAGGAGTTCAAGGTTACAGTAATCGCCACTGCACTCTAGCCTGGGCGACAGCGCTAGATAGACCCTCTTTTTTATTGAGACGGAGTCTCTCTAATGGCGCGATCTCGGCTCGCCACAACCTCCGCCTCCCGGGTTCAAGGGATTCTCCTGCCTCAGCCTCCCAAGTAGCTGGGATTACCGGCATGCGCCACCACGCCCAGCTAATTCTGTAATTTTAGTAGAGAGGGGATTTCGCCATGTTGGTCAAGCTGCTCTCGAACTTCCGACCTCAAGTGATCCGCCCGCCTCGGCCTCCCAAAGTGTTGGGATTACAGGCGTGAGTCACCGCGCCCTGCCGACCCTGTCTCTTAAAAAAAAAACAAAAACGGGGTCATCTTTCCATCCGTTTTCTAACGGTTTGAATCTCAGGACTAAGTATTCCTAGGCCCCTGTTGCTTACGCTGCCGTGTGGTGCCCAAGTGAGCTTTTATTCTGAGATTGGCTGGTTGGGGTACGGAGAAACAATCAAAGGCTCTGTTGCCGCAGGCGTGTTTCTGACTGTGAGTCCTGCTCCCGCCCCATGCCCGAGGGTGCCCAGACTCACCAGCGCAGGTCGCGGCTCCCTACCCGGCAGGCGCCGGCCTCCCGCCGGCCCGCGCAGGGCCCCCAGCGTGCGGAGGCGCGCGGCGCAGCTCCTCAGCATGGCTCCCGGCCGCGCGGGCGCGCTTGCTCTAGCCCCGGACGGCGCACACTAGCTCTGCCACACGACCGCTCGTCGGAGTTAACCCCTGGGGTGGACGCAGGGCGGAGCTTGGCGAGGAGGCGGTGCGCACTACAGGCGGCGGGCTGGCAGGGGTGTGAGGCTGGCGGAGTCCGGGGAGGGCATCGCTGTGTCTATCTTTTAGTTCCGGTCTTTTCTTTCCGAAGACTTCCCGCTGCGGCCAAGCGCCGGACCACTTCTGGGACTTGTTAAAGGCAAGGGAAGCGCGGCCGGAGCGGATCCCGATTACCGCCTTGGGCCCCTCAGCCCCGGAACCCGCGCGCCAACTGGAGGCTTTGCAGTCATCCTTCCCGCGTGACCCAGGGCGAAGGCAGTGCTCCGTGTCCCCAAGTAGTTATCCCTCCCGCGGGACTGAATTCCCTGGGGCGGGTGGGAGCGCACGCTAGAAGTGGTATGAATAAAGTGTTTTATTGAAGGTCGTGGACAAGTCTCTAGGACAGGGTGGATAGTGCTGGTTTATAGAAGGCAGTCTGGGCACAAAGAGCATTTATACGATTGAAAAGCTGCTTTCCCTGCCAATAGCCCCATACCCTCCCCAGGAGCTTGCGCCTTAGAAGACTCTTGTTATGTAAACTGACAGTTAAATTATATTACAAACGAAGGTAATGGATACTAAAAAGGTAATAGGTATTGTAACTATTTTATTGTTATCAATGCTTTTGAGGTTATTTACCTCTCGTATTCGTATGGTGGGAATACTAGGCGCATACCTTCGGAGCTTCGAATTCAGTTACCTCACTGGGACCTTGAAATCGGACTGGGTTGGAGTATTCCCATTACTCAGATACTGCAAATCCGGGCCATCCTACCCCTTAAGTGCTTACCAGTATGCCATAGCCCATCCTAAGGTGAAGACTCTAATGGTTTTGTTTTGTTTTGTTTTGTTTTGTTTTGTTTTTTTTTTGAGACAGTCTCGCAGAGATATCGCTATTGCCCTTGAGCCTGGGCAACATACGGATGCCCCATCTCAAAAAAGCAATAAATTCAAAAGAAAACTCCAACGACCTGAGTGCATTAGATATTTTGCGTTGATTCCTTTCCCATGAACAATTCCAGCAGTTTGTCAGTAGGTAAGAACACCTAGATATATTTTAAGCCTACTATTAACTGGGGGAAGGTGTAACATTCTGAGACAAAGGGAATTGGAGAGAGAAGGCAATGCAGTCAGGAGGGGCCCTTGGAATCCCAGAGCTACTGAACCGAAGACCAGGCATAAATGATGGATGTTGAGATTCTGTAATTCTAAGAGGTTGCATTCTGATATCTCCTAACCACCCCCCACCACATTCCCTTTATCTCAGTTGTCTTCCTTTTGAATATATTAATAGTATTGTAGTTTCCTGGTGGCAGGGATGGGGTCAGATTGCCTTATTAATTGTAACAATGCATACATAGTGCTTGAATACTTATTTAGCAGCAAGAATCCAAAGTATCTTTGGTGTCTGTTGTCTTCCCATGTTGTGCATGCAGATGGAGGCACAAGTATAACGTAAACCTCTAAAATTGAGATGACTACTGTTAATTAATAGAAAAGTTTATTCAGGTAACTTAAAATTGCATCTATTTACAACTTACAGTATAGTCAAGTCAATCAAAACCTATAGACTTCAACCCTACTAAGATTGTCTATATGATTAATGTACCAATAGCTCACCTAACAGCTTCCTTTTGTTTTTTTTTGAGACGGAGTCTCGCTCTGTTGCCCAGGCTGGAAGTGCAGTGGCACGATCTTGGCTCACTGCAACCTCTGTCTCCAGGGTTCAAGCGATTCTCCCTGCCTCATCCTCCTGAGTAGGTGGGATTACAGGCGCGTGCCACCACATCTGGCTAATTTTTATATTTTTGGTAGAGATGGGTTTTCACCATGTTGGCCAGGCTGGTCTTGAACTCCTGACCTCAAGTGATCCACTCACCTCCCAAAGTACTGGGGTTACCAGCATGAGCCACTGTACTTGGCACCCATCAGTTTCTTAAAAGACCTTAGACTTAGGGCAATTATAGGTCAGTTACACTGAGTTTAAACTTCATTAAATTTTAACTCTAAATTTTTCAAGTAGTGGCAGTGCATTTAGCTAAGTCATCCACACTCTTGCAAGGCTTACTCTGGGATATTCGTGTTGACAGCACATATAAAATGTCTGGTCAGATTTGGAAGAGGAAGGGCAGGTTACAGTCTAGAAATAGGATTGATAAGCTATGGAAGTGGAGGAGTTTGAAGCTTGTATGGTTTAGACAAGGAACAAATAAATGTTCAATCTTGATAGAACTATGCTTCAAATAAGCCAATGATAGGAAACTTAATAGTCATTCTTTAATTTTGTAGACAGCTTTATTGAGGTATAGTTGACATGGGATGGGCACAGTGACTCATACCTACAATCCCAGCACTTTGGGAGGCTGAGGTGGGTGGATCACCTGAGGTCAGGAGTTTCAGACTAGCCTGGCCAACATGGTGAAACCCCGTCTCTACTGAAAATACAAAAATTAAGGCCGGGTGCAGTGACTCACTCCTGTAATCCCAGCACTTTGGGAGGCCGAGGCAGGCAGATCACGAGGCCAGAAGATCGAGACCATCCTGGCTAACATGGTGAAACCCTGTCTTTACTAAAAATACAAAAAATTAGCCAGGCGTCGTGATGGGTGCCTGTAATCCCAGCTACTCAGGAGGCTGAGGTAGGAGAATGGCGTGAACCTGGGAGGTAGAGCTTGCAGTGAGCCGAGATCGCACCACTGCACTCCAGCCTGGGCGACAGATAGAGACTCTGTCTCAAAAAAAAAAAAAAAAAAAATTAGGCTTGGTGGCGCATGCCTGTAATCCCAGCTACTTGGGAGGCTGAGGCAGGAGAATCGCTTGAATCTGTCAGGTGAAGGTTGCAGTGAGCTGAGATTGCGCCACTGTACTCTAGCCTGGGCAACAAGAGTGAAGCTACATCTCAAAAAAAAAAGTCCGGGGGCAGTGGCTCATGCCTGTAATCCCAACACTTTAGGAGGCTGAGGCAGGCGGATCACAAGATCAGGAGTTCGAGACCAGCCTGACAAACATGGTGAAACCCCATCTTTACTAAAAATACAAAAATTAGCTGGGCATGGTGGCATGCACCTGTAATCCCAGCTACTCAGGAGGCCGAGGCAGGAGAATTGCTTGAACCCGGGAGGTAGAGGTTGCAGTGAGCCAGGATTGCACCACTGCGCTCCAGCCTGGGTGACAGAATGAGACTCTGTCTCAAAAAAACCAAAAAACAAAAAACATAAAAAAGAGATAGTTGACATAAACTGAACATATTTAAAGAATACAATTGGATGTTTTGATACAAGTTTACACTCATGCAAACATCACCATAATTAAGATAATGAGCATATCTATTATCCACAAATTTGCTCATGCCCTTTTGTAAACCCTCCCTTCTATACTATAGTACTTTCTGTCACCGTAGATTAATTTGCATTTTCTAGAGTTTCGTATAAATGGAATTATATAGTATGTACTTTTTGTGGTCTGGATTTTTTAAATTCACTATAACTGTTTTGAGATTCATCCGTGTTTTGCTTATGTCAAGAATTTATTTTTTAAAATTGCTGAGTAGTATTCCATGGTATGGATGTACCACAGTTTTTCTGCTCACCCATGGATGAGCATTTGGTTTATTTCCAGTTTTTGTGAATTACAAATATAGCTGCTGTGAGTACAAGTCTTTGTATGGATATATGCCTTCTTGTCTTATGGGTAAATATCTAAGAGTGGAATGGTTGGATCATGTGGTAGATGTATGTTTAACTTTTTTTTTTTTTTTTTTTTTTTTGAAACAGTATGGATTTACAAGATCTTCTTGGTGTTGATTTCCCGGGTTCACGCCATTCTCCGGCCTCAGCCTCCCGAGTAGCTGGGACTACAGGCGCCCGCCACTGCGCCCAGCTAATTTTTTCTATTTTTAGTAGAGACGGGGTTTCCCCATGGTCTCGATCCCCTGACCTTGTGATCCGCCCGCCTCGGCCTTCCAAAGTGCTGGGATTACAGGCGTGAGCCACCGCGCCCGGCCGTATGTTTAACTTTTTAAGAAACTGCCAAACTTTTCCAAACTAGTTGTATCATTTTACCAGCAGTGTATAAGGATTTCAGTTCCTCCACATCCTTGCCAACCTTTGGTATATTCAGTCTTCTATATTTTAGCTATTGTAACTAGATGTGTGTAAGTATTTTACTGTGGTTTTAATTGGCATTTTCCTAATGATGAATAATGTTGGACATCTGTGGGCTTATTTTTCATCTGTGTATCTTCTTCATTGAAATGTATATTCAAATATTTTGCCCATTTAAAATAATGAGGTATTTGTATTCTTATTGCACTTTGTGTGTTTCCCTCTGATAACCATTTCACATCTAAATTTTAAATTAAATTTCAAACCTTGCATTTATAAGAAAACTGAATGACAATGTGATGCTGGCCGCTTTAATATTTCTTGCTACGTTTTTCTTGGATTTGTTGTCATCAGTCTCACTCTTGGAAAGGATTTATTCTTGAATTGTTATCCATGGGACAAGGCACCAAAATGAGTCTCCGGATGGGTGAAGGGTCCCTCTTCCCTTTCAATAGTGGAAAAAGGGTGACTGTGAAAGAGGTTGAAAACAGGAATCGCAGGCTCATTTTTAGGTAGATACAATTTATCTGCATCATTAGTATTTTAATATTATGCACAGAGTTACTGTGTGGTTCTTTTTTTTTTTTTTTTAACCATCATACAATATGTCCATGTAATATTGTGTGGTTCTTGAAGTCATTTTAATCACATGGGGGAGAGGGAGATTTCTACTTGAGGGGGTGTCGGGTAGATGGTATTGTCATTTACACCTATCATATGCTCTAGCTGCACAGGTCTCCTTTCCGCTCTTGGAGTGCCCCAGGCTCTTTCCTGCCCAAGGGCCTTCTTGTGTGTTGATGCTCTGCTTGTAATGCTCTTTCCCCCTACTCTTTCCTAGCTAACTCCTACTAAATTTTTGGCGTCAGCATAATTGCCACTTTCTTAGGGAGGCCTTCCCTGAACAAAGTGCTTACTAGGTTTCAAACAGTATGCTAAGTGCTTTATATACATGATTTTATTTAATCTGAATTAGGTCCTCATTAAATTCTCTCAGAGTGCTGAAACTTTTCCTTTAGAACAATTATTACAGTTTGTAGTTAAATATATATTTGTGTGCTGCCTGTCTCTCTGAGGAGACTATAGGCTTTTTTCATGTCTCTTTGGTGTACCCATGCATCCTCAGTGACATGCAGATCTTAGACACTCAAAAATAATTGTTGAATGAACTAATGAGTGGGAAACATTTGGAAGGAGGGCTGAGATCTTCTTTTCTCTCTCAACTTTTTCTCTTTAATTATCTCATCAATTCCCATGGTTTAAATACCTTTTATTTGCTGATGAATCTTAACTTTGTATCTCTAGTTCAAAGTTCTCTTCATTTAGTCATCAGGATAATCATGTGAGAGTACCATTATTATCCCTATTTTACAGCTGAAACATCTGGAGAAAATTATATATTCCCATGCCATCTTCAAATGTAGGGTTTCATGGATGTTATGATATATTCCT